CTGCCCTATATGAAATGACAGACTATGGACACCCCCATGGAGGGCCTCACCCTCCCTGGGGGAATGAGGGGATAACGGGGGGGGGGGGTTGGGGGGAGAGCAGGGGAGGAGGGGAGGGAAAGGGAGAGGGACCTGGAACTGACTTGTGAAGCAACCTTGTTTCTTATCTAAATTTAAACTGAAAAAAAAAATAATGACAAAGAAACTCTTTGATGCAGTATGGGAAATAATTTTCCCAAGTTTAGAGAATGATTTGTAACTTGATAAAATGATTTGTGTTTATATAAAAGAAAAAAATTAAAAATTATAAAGATAAAAAAAGAAAGAGAAGTTAGATGTTTAAAAGTTTTCTTGAATCTAAAGAGTAGCTAGAGGGCATAAAAATTTCACAGAATTATAATATACTATATATAATTGAAAATATTCTACCTATTCATGTTATTAAGCACTTAAGGCAACTGTATTTATCAGTTTTTCCAATTATAAATGTGCTCATAAAATATCATAATTAGCTTTTAAACAAATAATTGTTTTCATTGCTCATCATGCCCAGTCTTATTATTTAGTTGTTCTGTAGGCTACCTTAATTAGTTAAATAACAGAGATTTGCTGGTTGGATAAGTGAGTGATTACTCTAAGCAGTGAAAAGAATATGTGCATTTGAAAAGCAATGAGTTGTTAGGAAGCAGGAGTGAGGCATGGAGTCAGGCCTTAAAATTACACTATTTGGCTTCATGATTATAAAACAATTTCCTCTCCTCCACTCATTTTGTGCATAGTGAAATAGAATTATATTCCCAGCACACTGACTACCATCAGATTCATATTGTTTCCTCTACCTCCAGAAAAGCTAGTAACATATGGTATAACTGGGTTTTGAATTGTCTTTGTAAGAAAATACTGATTTTTTTGGTACTTATCCAAAAATAACTTCAAACACTTATTCCAAAATATGAAATAACATGTGTATTTATTTTCATTCTGTTTAATGTATTTAAAAGTATTTGATCACTTTATGGATTGTTATGTTTTGTTTCTTGTATTTTGAGGACAGGGTTTCTCTGTGCAGCCTTGAACTTACAGAGGTCAGCATGTCTCTGTCTCCCCAATGCTGTGATTAAAGGCATGAGTTACCACCAGTCGGTCATATTACAGATGATTAAAAAGAAGGCATAGCATATATATGCAACTTGCTCAAACCACATTTATTCTCCTGTATAATCTCTTCTCTTTTTTCTTTATTTTTTCTAATTCCAGAGAACAGGTGATCCACATAATATATTAGTACCACTCAAGGACTTTGGGTTCTGTAATTAGGATAGGCTGATAAGCCTACTGAGTCCCATGTAGGCACCTACCTCTATCCTGGGCAATTTACCTATCTTGCTTAACCAGAATTTGGATTGACGACCCATGCTGCCATTCCTGACCTTTTAGATGGATCCTGTCGATGGAACTCTAGTTGCTGTGCTGTTAAGGCAAGGACTATATTGGCTGAGATAGCTCGACAACCTTCATCTCTAAATATATTTTATATTGACTTTCAAGGTAACATTGCTGGTATTTTTAGATAATGTTGACAATTTATTTTAATCCTTTTATTGTAATAGAATAGATATTTGGAGGGATTTATTGGAATCTTCATTTCTAAGTAGTAACTCAAGTTCTTCATAAACATAAGTGAAGGTATTTCAGCAAATTATTTAAGTCTATAATATTATGCATGTACACATATAATCATTTAACATCTGTGTGAGTAATCATTAATACGTTATTACTGTGGGTAATCTAATATCCATATTCATTCCTTCTGTCCTCCATTCTTTATTTTTGATGAGCTAACGAATGAATCTAGAACTTCAAGCAAGCTGAGAAAACATTCTACTGATAAAATATCTCCCAACCCTCATATCTTTATTATTATACAAGCAAATGAAAATTGGACCTTACAGTTCCATGCAGGTTCACTGTTTGACCAACCAGTCTCTGTGAGCTCCTATGAGTCCAGGTTAGTTGTTTCTGTGAATTTTCTTGTGATGGCCTTCACCCCTCTGGCTCTGACAATCCTACCGTCCTTCCTTTAGCAGGATTCCCTACGTTTGACCTAATGTTTGGCTGTGGTCTCTGTATTTGTTTCCTTCAGTTGCTTGATGAAGTCTCTCTGATGATAACTGGGGTAGACAGCAATCTATGTGTAAATCGGAACATCGTTATACATCACAACATTGGCATTTTTTTCTCCCACCGTCTTTGGTTCTATACTGGGTCTCTGGGCCACCCAGCCTGTTGGGTCCTGGAATCACAGGCAGTGTAAGGGGTGGACTCACTCTCATGGCATGGTTCTCAGGTAGGAGAAGTCATTGGTGGGTCACTCCCACAATCTCTGTGCCACCCTAACCCTAGGACATCCCATAGGCAGGACAGATTGTGGGTCGAAGGTTATGTGGCTGGCTTGTTATCCCAATCCTTCTACTGGAAGTCTTGCCAGGTCACAGGAGATGACCTGATTGGGCTTGTGGGACTCTGAGCAGTGGGAGCAGAGACTGTCTTTGACTCTTTTGCAGGTTGTTTGTACCCTATTTCTTATATTGTTTACCTAGACCAACCTTAAAACAAGTGGAGGTTCATAGTCTTACTGCAACTTGATATGCCATGTTTTGTTGATATCCATGGGATGCCTGCCCTTTTCCAAATAGAAATGGGGGAGGAGAGGATAGGGAGAGTGCAGAGGGAATGTGAGGAGAGGAAGAAGGGGAAACTGAGGTAGGGATGTAAAATATTGAAAAGTAATAAAATAAAATCTAGAACAAATATTCTGGAGCAAATGAACACAAAGTTATTTCTCAACTTTTAGAAAGCAGTTTGGGTACTTGACTTGTGGTAAGAATTCAAAGTTTATTGTTCCCTGATAGTGGTATATTATGTTATTTAAGAATCCAGTCATCCTTCCCCAAGAAATTTCACACACAACAAATTGCCTAGGATCTTCAGAGGATACTGATGACACATAATTTTATGTGATAAGAGAACATCAAAATTGAATTTTATGTACTTCACTATTATTTCCTGGAATATTTCTTAACTCTCAGGATTTCATGTAATAATAACAATGAAAATATGGTACATCATGTGATTTTTGATTAATCATTTAAGCTTTGCACTTATACATATAGAATTTTTCCACAGATTAGATATTATCAGGTACTTATTGGTTAAAATATCTTAAATGTAGACTTTGCTGTTGTTTGTGGTTGTGTTGTTGCTTTTCATTTTCACCCACAACCATGTTTCTCTTCCATTGCTGATTATAGATCTGTTACAAAAGTTATGATACCTAGAAGTAACTATGTGAAAAGTTGAAAGCAATTTCCTAGGTTCCCAAAATCCAGAAGTTGGACATTCATAGACCATGGATTATAAGATAAATGTGTGCAATACCGTGACACAATAATAAATAACATCTAAAGTACACAAAACAATTTGAAAATAATTCACTTATGTCTTTATATGACAAATGTCTAAATACGTATGAACAAATACAAGCACATAAAAATAAGTATAATCTGTTTAGAAATTCTCCTGCATACCCTTTCTCTAGCCCTGCTTGCCTCCTCTAGCCCATGCCCCATCCACTCCTCCCAAATAGTAAGCCTTTCCATGGAGAGTCAACAGAACCTGGTATATCAAGTTGAGGCAGGACCAAGGTTGCATTGAGGTTGAGCTTGGTGTCCCACAATAGAATGTGGGCTCTGACAAGATACCTCATGCACCAGGGATAGATCTTGATTCTACATCCAGGGACCCCTCAGATAGAACAAGCTACACAACTGTCTGCAACACGTAGAGGCCCTAGTTTGGTCCCATGGAGACCCAGGCTATCTTCTTTATTTGTCCTACCAATGATGCATTTATAGGGTATTGTACCATGCCAAGGTTATTGTTTTCTTGAAAGAGACATTTCAGAACAATATAGTGATATAAGGAGCCATTCATAGATTCACCAAATGAATCCTGGCTAATCACCAACTGTAGAATCTTAACAAGGTTTAGGCTTCATTCAACATAATTCAGAAAAGAAAAAAGAATATACATCTAGTAAATATACTGTAATTACCACAGTATATATATAAAATAGTCTATTATTAGTCACAAACAGTATTTGCACTAAAATTGTTTTTACATAAAAATATGATTTGCAGCTAGTATTAACTGTCTATTTTAATGGAAGCATGATCTGAAATGTATTTGGAAACTTGACAACTTTTTAGAATCTCAGAACATATCTTTTGTGATTGCTGAGAGTGTTTTAATAAGGTGATAAAACTACCACTAAATATTCATATTTTGTTCCATATATTTAAAATATTTTTAGCTATGGAGAGCATCTTACAGTCGTTTATATAAATGTTGAAACGTTCAGCATAATTTATCAAGAACTATTACTTCTAAGTTAAAAGATGGTCCACTGTTGATAACTGAACAATCGATTAAAATTAGCAGTATAAACTGCTAATACCAGAATAAATATTTCATGTAGTATGGGGAGTTAAATGTAGGGCCTTGATAATACTAGCCAAGTGCTTCACCACTAGCTATAACCATGCTCAGTAGAAAATAATTTTAAAAGGTCAAAGGAGTATGTAATAAAATGGCCAATTTTGTGCCAGTATAATTTTTTCCAAATGAAGTTTATGGAGCATTCTAAGATGTTTATGTGCAAATAACTTATAAAATATCATTTATTGTGTTCAGGAAGATAGAGTAAAGCATAGATGACCTTATGGATAAAAACTTATTAGTCTTTGGAATCTTCAATGCCTTCACAAGTAATGTATTTGACTTGATCTGAAAAGAAAATATTTCATATTTCTCAGCTAAAGTCAGTTATTCTTTTCACCAGCAGCTAGAAAAAGATTGGTATAAAATTTATGTAGTCAGAGAAGAATTGTGAAACATAGAGTTTAATGACACATAAGATTTCACAGCACATGCAAACCTACCCTTCTAATCTCACATCCGGCAGACTTCGGTTAAGGGCGATCAAGTCACTGGCCATGAGATTAAACTGATTGATTTTAAACAACTCTTTCATTTTCTCTTGGTCATCTTTTGGAATAAGCACAGCCTTTCCCATTTCTCCTGGACCTTCTTGGTTTCTTGAAATGACAGCTGTAAGACAGACACAGGTACAGACATACCAATAACGAATAGAGTAAGCTTATATCTTAAATAAAATTCTCTTGTGTATTATTAGCATTTAATGATATAATATGCTAACCTAGCTTTTTACAAACTGTATGTTACACAAAGAAACTCTCTATGCAATATTTCAAGTATAAAAATGCTATATAATCCAGTGTGCTATTAATATTAATAATAAAACAACATAAATAAATAACACTTAAAGATTTTTTTGTCAATTTTGTAACACATTTTAGCTGAAACAGATGAAGTTGAGGGATAAATAGACAAAAATGCTTTGTGAAAACATGCCAAGATTAAATTATCTACAAAACCTATTAAAACTTGATGTTTCAACTCATTTTTTACAATTACATATTTACAAAAACAAGGAAGATTGTTAATCATTTGTCAAAGCATTTTGAAATGATTCAAAAAGAGTTTCACAATGGTATAATACAATTTCAAGTGTCAAGACATCTAGGTATACCATACTTGAAAACTTGACAATTCAATAGCAGAATTTAGAATTTGCATTTGCTATACATACAAATGTTCTTTCCATTTATTCCAAGTAATCAATACAGCAAATGCTTTGTTGCTCTAAAATACATGTTTCAGTATGTATGTATCTAAACATCTCTCTCTCTCTCTCTCTCTCTCTCTCTCTATATATATATATATATATATATACATATATATATATATGGTGGATGATAGATTAGATAGATGATAGATATAGAAAGATAGATAGTAGATAGATCTGTATAAACCACAACAAACCATGTTGATTGTAGCTGTTATCAATGAACTTTTAACACACTACTCACCATGTTAAATTAAAATGAAGTGGACTTTGTCTAGGGAAGCACGTACCTAAATTCAGATACTCATCTCTCTCTCTAATCTCATCCCCTGCTTCATAGCATATGACCTGCTGCAGCCCCACTCTGAGCTCCCATTTACACTGGATCACTCATATACTCCCCCCGAAATTATTGTTATCACTATTCATTATTTTATCCCAGTCACGAACTCCAGCAGGCATTCCCTATGAACCCAGAGGCCATTCCAATCAGAGAAGCAGTTATATAACTACTATACTTCAAACTCCTCTTCCTATAAATACAATCCTCAAATAACATCCCAAACTCTATTGAAATCCACCTGTGCTTCCTTTCTTCTCCATCACCATATTCACTGGGTCATGTAGATGTTTTCCACCAAACGTCTTTCCCATTCACACTGTTATCCCACCTCAATTCCAACAGTGAGTGATTCCCTGTGATCCAACCATACAAACCTCACATAGAAGCAAGAAGGCCAGTCAAACATGTAGAAGGGCTTCAAACCTTCTGTCTCCAAACTTTATCCAAATACAATCACCCTATCTAACACTCAGGTCTGTACCAGACTACTTGTCATCACCTCTCCTAGATCTGTGCACCCATTCTTAAGGGAATAAGCAGATCTTAGTGGAGCACACTGCTTTCCTCCCACATGTTGACTACTCCCTAGCCTATCTCCATTCATCAATGTCAATCGTCAATGCCTAGAAATTTATTTTACCCAGGACTCCTAGTAGCCATACCTGGCAGGATCCCAGAAAAATTGCTTACCTGAAAACATACAGCTACCACACACTACTAAGGAAGAGAGAGTGCAACAGAAACCAAGAAACAAAACACTGACCCATCAAACACAGGACCAGATACTAGTGTCTATACTTACAATCTTCCCAAACCCAAATGCCTAAATGATTGCATATAAACATACTTGGTAACACCCAGGATAACATGCTCCATGAGAGTTCAGCAACACTACTATATTATAGACCCTGAGAATTGAAACATAGTAGAATTACAAGAGTAAATTCTTAAAATAGCCTTTAGGAATATGATGAACATTCTTGAGAGGAAATAAATGAATCTCTTAAAGAGATATCCATAAAAACACAACCAGTGGAATAAAATGAATAAAACAATTCAAGATTGTAAGGAGAAATTGAATCAGTAAAGAAAACCCAAATTGTTAAAAATCTAGAAATGAAAAATGTAGGAACACAAACATGAAACTCAAAGGCAAACCACACAACCAGAATACAAAATATGGAAGAGTGATTTCAGGCAGTAGAGACACACTAGAAGAAATGGTTATATCAGAAAACAACATGTTAAATCTAAAAACACCCTACCACAAAACATCCAGAAAATCTGGAACATTATAAAAAGACCAATTCAGAGAATAATAGGAATAGAGGAAGGAGAAGAAACCCAGGCCCATGGTACAGAAAATATTTAAAATAAAAAAGTCTCTAGCCTAATGAAGGAGATGTCTATATAGGTTCAAGAAGGGGGCAGAACACCAAATGCATTCAACCAGAAGATAAAGTCCTTTGGTAATACTAATCAGAACACTAATGGTACAAAACAAAGAAAGAATATTAAAAGCTGCAAGGGGAAATGACCAAGTAACATTTAAAAGCAGACCTATTATAATTACACTTGACTTTTAGTGGAAACTTAAAAGCAGAAGGAACTGAGCAGATATCCTAAGACTCTAAGAAATTACAGATGCAAACTCAGACTACTATATACAGAAAAAAGTTCAATCCACATAGATGGGAAAAAATAAGAGACTCTGTGATTAAACCAAATACAAGAAATATTTGCCTACTATTCCAGCCATACAGAATATGCTAGAAGGAATACATGATCCTACAAATGTTAACCACATCCAAGAAAATATAAGGAATAAATAATTCCTAACCAGCAAATAAAAACAGGTAGCACACACACAGACACACACATAGAAACACACATGCACACACACGCGTAAGAATAAAAACAGGAGTCAATATAATATGGTCATTGATATCTCTCAGAACATTGATCTCAATTAAAAAACACAGACTAACATAATGGGTGGGAAAAGATGATCCATCCCTCTGCTGCATCAAAGAAACATACCTAAACATCAAGGATAGCTATTACCTGAGAGTAAATAATGGAAAAGGATATTCCAAAAAATGACTAAGAAGCAAGCTATGGCAGTTATTTTAATATCTGACAAAATAAACTTCAAGAACATATTGAAAATATCTTTACCTATGATCAAGTAGATTTCATTCAGGAGATGTACTTATGGTTCAACCTGTATTAATTGATAAATGTAATCAACCATGAAAATGAAAGACAAAGACCACATTAACATTTGACCAGATGCAGAAAATCTCCTGATGGAATACAACATGGTTTCATGATAAATTTCCTGGAGAGTAGTACTCCAAATTCCCAGGCAAATGGATGGAAATAGAGTGAGGTAACCCAGTCACAAAAAAACAAGCATGGTATTTACTCACTCATATGAGGATTTTAGAAATAAAACAAAGGATTATCAGAGAAACTAGGAAACATAAGAGACATATACATGGACCCCCAGAGAGAGAGGAGTGATAAGCAAAGGGGTCAAGACCAGGCTAAAGAAACCCACAGAAATAGCTGACAAGGGGTCTCATGGATCCCAGATTGATAGCTGGGAAAACAGCACAGGACTGATACATACTACCTGAATAAGGATGTCAGTCTGGAGGTCTGGTTAATCTATGGGGCCTCTGGTACTCGATCAGTATTTATTCCCAGTACACAAATGGAATTTGGGAGACCACTCTACATAGAGGGATACTGCCTCAGCCTTGACACACATGGGAGGATCTAGGCCCTGCTCCAAATGATATGACAGACTTTGAAGATATCCCATGGAAGGCCCCACCCTCACTGGAGAGCAGAAAGGAGATGGGACAGGGGATCAGTGGGGGACAGCGGAGGAGGGGAGGTAGAGGGAACTGGGATTGAAATGTAAAACAAGTTTGTTTCTAATTTAAATAAAAAAGGGAAAAAACTTCTCAGGAGTAAGAGGAGAATATGATCAAAATACAGTTTATGAGATAATCAAACAATAAGATATTATAGCAAAAAACACAACAAATTCCTGGAGAGATTAGGGATACAAGAGACATAAATCAACATAAGGCAGTTTATAGCAACAATCCTATAGCCAATATCAATTTAAATACACTGAAAGAAATTCTACTAAAATCTTGAACAAGACTGTCTGCTGTCTCCATAACTATTTAATATAGTGTTTGAAATCTTAGCTAGAGCGATAAGAGAACTGAGGCAGATCAAGGGATTACAAAGTATAAAGGAAGAAATCTAAGTATCTTATTTATAGATGACATGGTAGTCTATGTAAGTGGCCCTACACATTCCATCAGGGAACTCTTACAGCTGACAGACACTCACCAAAGTCGCTGGATAAAAAATTAACTCATAAAAACAAGTAGTCTTCTTATATAGATGACCAAAAATCATGGGACAACATCTTTCACAATAGCCTCAAATAACAAAAGAATATCTTGGTTTAATTATAACCAAGCAATGAAAGTCTTATGACAACAACTTTAAGATTTTGAAGAAAGAATTTGAAAAAGATATCAGAGGGTAGGCATATTTCCAATGCTCATTGATGAGTAGGATTAATAGAGTAAAAATAGCCATGAAATCTAAAGCAATATACAGATTCAAGGTAATCCCCATCCAAATTGCAACACAATTTTTACAAATCTTAAGAAGACAATTTTCAGGTTCATTTGAAAAAAACCTAAAATATACTGTTACCTGTATGTTTCTTTTCAGAGTTCACTGTGTGTTACTAATGAACCAATTAGTGTGTTCTTCTCTGGGGAAGACCACCTCTCTCAAAATAGTGACAAATTAAAGTCTAAAGATATGTGTGACAATGTATTGTAAGCTATAATATTTCTTACTAAAACATAAACTAAGGTTATACCACAAATTGTGACAAACAAAAGTTCATCATCAAACTGATGATGAACTTTGTACTTCAAGCAACAGCAAGGCCATTATTGATGTTAAGTAAAAATTATCAACCAGTTAGATATTATATTTACAAGGTTATTTTGTCAT